CTGCTGCTGCTGCTGCTGCTGCTGCTGCTGCAGGGACACAGTAAGGCTGAGTAAGCCTGAGAAATCACACGACTTTGGCCCTGCTGCAGCGTTTGGATGGCTCATTGAGTCTGCAGGTATGGATCAGAGTGAGGAATGACTGCAGTCTTTCACAGCTGGCCAGCTTCTCACTCTCTCTCTATCTTTTCTGTCTCTTCCCATATCTCCCCCTGACTGTCCCCACTTTTATTCCCCAGCTTCTCTTCTCTTGGGAAATGACAAAAACACCCTCCTCTCCCTCACCTGTACTCTCTTTTCACTGAGTCAGTCAAACTGGCAGTCACTCCTGCACAATCATGCATGCGTGTCCGGATCACGACCTCCACATGTGAAAATGTTGCCTTAATGTGTCAGAGAGTAAGTGTGTGTGCATGTCCCAGTGATTTCTGCTTTGCTGGTTGTGTTTGTGAGGTGTGCGCTGACCTGGGGCTTGAAGCGGCAGAGAAACTGGATGACAGATGGTGTGTTTGAAAGAGAGATTTTGAGGTTCAGCACTGGTCAACTGAGGTTTGGCACCAAAGCAAGGGATTGGCCTGTTGTTTCCCCTCCTTCCATCACTATGCACAGACACACATAAGAGGGACACAAACCACTGCACATGCACATTTTCATATGAGGGAAACACAACAACACCAGGGACTATTCTCAAATCAATATTTTGTCTTGCAGCCTATGCCCAACCAACACGGGTTGATTAAATGCTAGCTGTGAGCATTGACTTACACACCTGTAGTTGGCGTAAGGAGAGCAAACAATGTAGTATGGAAAAATAACAGTTATATTTTTATAATATATTTTCTTTCGTTAAAATCAAATTAAATATTAAACTAAGAATAATGTAGAGCTGAATATGGAAATTGTATTTATATTTTTCCCTGATACTGCTTATAAGTGTCGTTTATTGTCGTTGAAGTAGCTAACTGACGAGTGAACTAGATCATCAGCTACACTTCCATTTGTATGAAAACAAAGTAGGAAAAAATGTGTGGAACCAACTAGAAATCAATCCAAAATATCTTGGATAGAAATGATGCCATCTTGCGCCATTAACATGGAGGAGGTAGGGTTTATGATGTATACACCAGCCAGCCACCAGGGGGTTGAGACATCTTGGCTTCACTTTTGGCAAACTATCATGTCGTCAATCTTAAATACAGTCTATGGTCAAAACCAATTGATTGACATTTAACTCTGCTCAAATTTAACAGTGGAACCAATCAAATCACAGCAGGTGGGAGTAAAACTATTTCGTATAACCCATTCTGCCATACAGAATGATGAAAGTTGGGTTTTACTTTTTTATTTGGTCAGTGCATTGCTAGAGTCAAAAACATATATATAACATTTGAGTTCTTCAAAAAGCAGAAACCAAAAACTGCACAAATACACACACTCAGTGAAACACATCAGGAAGCACACACACACACACACACACACACACACACACACACACACACACACACACACACACCCTGCTGAGATCATACACAACCAGGTGAAACATAGCTGGTTTTTTGGAAACTGAATTTTGTGGTTGCCTGGCAACTTCAGTTTGTTTGTCTGACATCAAAACGGAAACGCTGAACAACAAAGGTGCACACACACACACACACACACACACACACACACACACACACATACACACACGGGACACGGCTACAGTTGTTTGTTCAGACTGGAGGAAATAACATTGATTTACAATAATTTCCCACATTCTTACTCTCATCTACCATAACTACTACTTAACCCTAACTTTAACTCTTCATCTTTAAATTTAAGGGGGAAATGCTTTTTGTCCTCACACAGAAACCACGTCCTGTAATGTCAACAGTTTTAGGTAGTAGAGTGTTACCTGGACAAAAAACACACACAAGCTGTAGGGGACTTGATTACTGTGTAGGTTTAATTCATCTGTCTCAGGCCTCCCATCAATTAATGCACAATAATCCATCACACACACTGATGGCTTACTCATTTGTTTTTACTGGTGAAACTTGCGGTGCAGCTCACACTGCTCCAGCCTCACTCTGAAGTCTAGCCGGAGCTCTGTGGGTTAAGCATTTGTCCTGGAGCGAGTAAAACCTCTATTCTTGGCCTACAGGAGAGCAAACCATGCAGAATGTGAGACAGAGAGACTTAAACTCCTCAAGCAAGGAGGAAAAGTTCTGGAGGTCACAACACTTTCGGGGGAAGGAACTATATTTGATTGCTGATTTTCCAACAACTGATTGACTTAGTTTGCTGTATCACAACTTAGTTTATTGTTTCTTTTAGTTTCTTCAGTGTTTGCCAGGCACCAACACCGCCTATGGCCATACATCCACCCAATCTGCTCCGATATTTTAAGAAAACGGATCTGCTCCCTCTGTGTCTCCCTGCGCAGCAAGAGAAAGGAAAAGGTTACCCACGCGTTTCCCAGAGTTGCACGGAGGCCACTTGAAATGTAAATCTCAGCTTTACCCCCCCCATCGTGGGTTGCTACATTTTTATGAAAATCACCTGATTTGAATTTAGATGTGGCTGAACGGGAGCCGAGGCATTCACCGAGGCACGATCCTGTGTAACGAAGAGGCGTATTATCAGGCTGCTGTTGCCTCTGCTACGTGTCTGTCAAGAAGACAGACACACACTTTGTGTCACAGCCCTAGAGCTGTGTACGGCACTCTCGGGGCTTTTGGTGCTTGATAGAGGCTGCGTTCATTCACCGGGGGATAAATAGGTAATTGAACTGGGGATGTCACTATAATACACAAAGGCACAGTAACACACTCTCAGTCTCTATTTAGCCCCCCCCCTCCACACATTCTTGTTTCTCTGTAGTTGTGAGGACATTCATTACCTCCACCAAGAAGGTTATTTTTTCATCCCTGTTTGTTTGTTTGTAAGCAAGATCAGGAAAAAACTACAAGATGGTTGTGAGGATGTTGTGGATCTAGATCAGGGGGCAGATCCAGGTATTTTTTTATCACAGTTTTTTTATCTTGATGATCCATGTGCTCCATATGCACTATACTGTGCAGCCAGTTCTTTGTGTAATCCTAAAACAAATCTTATCCCTCAAAAAGCTCTTTGAAGAGGACCGACCAAAATGTCTTCACATCGTCAAAATATCCTCGCAATTTCAAAATGTCCTCACAATACTCAAACTATTCTCATAACATCAAACTGTTCTTGCAAGGTCAAAATGTCTTTGTGATGTCAAAATGTTCTTATTACATCAACATGTCCTTACATATTGTCAAAATGTCTTCACAAATTCAAATGTTTAAATGTCCTCATTATGTCAAAATGTTTGCCTCCTAAAAAGACACATTTTCTGTTGCTGAACCTTCTTTTAAACTTTGAGTTTTCTCATTAAAAAACACTTTTTGGATGCACTGCCATAAAAAAACCCCACTTCATCCACATTTTCTCAGCTGCAGTTTGCAGTTGCATGACAGGGTTCAAGCCCCACTTCCACTAAGCATCCTCTCTGCTCAAGTGTCCTTGAAGCTGACTCCTCACCTGCTCTGTTTTGGGGGAATTACGCAGGTGAGAAGTGGTTCAACTACTGCTTGAATCAACGTGACACCATTTTGCATTGAGACTACAAATGTCACAGTAGCTCAAAACCAGCCCAGTTGTCCCTCATCCCAATTGTAGCTGCAGGTTAGTGGGCTGTATTCCTCTCCTCCACCTGCAGGACAGCTGTGCGCCGCTGCCACGTCTCTCCTCGCTGTTGGAGTGGACGCGTAAATTGGGGGCGCACTGCTCAGCCATCAGAACGCAGCCCGTGAGATGCACAGCTGTGACTGAGAGCAGCTCTTTTGGACTCATCCACCTCCACTGCTCTTTGTTTTGTTTTTTTGCGCACAAGCACTGAGTGTTCCAGCTGAAGGGAAGTTTTGTGTGCGAGTGTTTTTTTTCCTCCGCGGCGTCGCTTTTACGCACCCGAGTTCTCCTCCTCCTCCACTGAGCGGAGGCATATTGTCTGTGGCGCAGCGCGACAGTGCGGGTGTCCGATTACAAACCGTGCGCCGAGGAGCCGCCGGTACAGAGCGCTCCTCTGTGGGGCAGAAATATCGCAGGGACTCCGGAGAGAGCGCAGAGGAATCACTGCGGAGAGAGAAGGAGTTTTCACCGAGGTCTGTTTCTGACCAGAGAAACATCAGGACTGAGGATATTTCATCTTAAGCGCATCTTTGATTTTGTGAGTCCCCCTACTCTTCTCACCGGGACAAGACACGCAGCTTCGCTCCCTGCTAGATGAACCGGAGTTGGGCACCTCATTTGGTAAGACGATGCTTTTACTATAGCCTGTGCACCAGCATTTATTTATAGATGTGACTCAGGCTTGTGCTGCAGATATCCAGTCTCCAAAACGCAATAAGGCATTTGTTTCCTCCTGAAAACAACCCACACTTCTCTTACTTCTTATTTGGGGTATTTTCACACATTACTTGTTTAAAGAGCTGAGAAAAAGATCATGCGTAAAGAAGGAAATTGGAGCATCTTGCAGGAACCATGCACTAACCCCACGGACCCCAAACACCACAACTGTAAATCATCAGTTTTCAGAAGTTTTGCATTTGGTTTTTTGCAACTTCTGGCCACTTGGTGGTGCTGGCAGAGTGCAACCTCCACCAGGTCCCTGTCTGTCTGAGAGCTTCCATCAAATCCTTCTTTTCAGCAAACTCACACCACAACTCTGAAAACACTGCTTTCTCTCTTGTCTTTCTTCTTTCAACATCTTGTGATAATTGATCAGTGTCTGGTCTCAGTAGCACATATCTCCTACATTCACTGCAGCAAGTGCACAATGAGAGAAGGTTGAAAATTATAGCTTTGTTTGGGTTTATAAAAAGAAAATGGTCTTGAGAATCAGTCAGTGCCTTGACAGCCCACATTTAAATTCACACTCTAGTGTTTTCTGGTTAATTGTAGTGTTTTCTCTTGCCTCATTTCTTTTTTTCTAACAAAGCTGTGTTTTATTAGCATCTGTGGAGCATTGTTCCTGCTTTTATATTTGACTTTTAAGTGTTTTCTATTCCCTCTCAACACTGCATTATGTTTAAAACCAAAGATTGTCATTCCATTCGCTGAGGAGACATTATGCCAGTTTTCAGTGCTCAAAGGATGTGCACTGAGTGGCTCCATGCCCTTTATAAGACACAGATTGTGTTCTGTATTATACATGAATTTTACATTTAATGGCCATAATGTGCAAAGCTTCTTTTATTCTCCACTCTCCTACTTGAGGTTCTCAGACCTTCCACCCATACAACTCACACTCCAGTCTTCTCCACACAATGCTAGAGCCACAACCAAGTCCTTGAAGGTTTTTTAACCTGTATGGTTTTGTCAGGTTATTTGCACAAAGAGCTTTTCTTCTACTCAAGATTTCAAATTTAACTTCCTGTAGCGTTTTTTTCTCGCACAAAAGTCACACTGAAACATTATCAAATGTGCTGTTTTTCCCTGGATCCTTGAAGCTTAGATGAGTCAACTCTTCAATTGTAAAAAGCTTCATATGTGCTGGAGGTGAAAACGTGACTGGCAAGGAGATAATAAATGTGGTTCAGGTGCTGAGTGAAGTCTCAGCCCTGCAGTTTGCTCCCGGCTCTGTCCCTGACTCTCACCGTCCCTGCAGCAGGTTTGGGTGAAAGCTAACCTCCACTCCTCATCACGCTGATTAGAGCACAATTTAACGAACATAATTGTCGACTAACTCACGGTTGTGTTTTTTATTCTCTTTTTAAAGCCTGGGGCCAGCATCTTTTTAGAAAACATGCAAATTTATTCTCAGATGTGTCCAGATTATAAAACTCTTTTCCATCTCATTAGTATTCACACGTGTCCGTGGTTGTTTTGCTCGTGCTAGCTTTTGGGATTTGAAAGCCGTTGTCCTGATGAAGGCAGTCAGCTCTCTGTGATCGTGTGGCCTCGTCTCGACAAGTCACACTATGCTCTCCGATGGATGAAAAAAAAGTGCCCCTCGTGATCCGCAGGGTAGAATCATTTTAAACTCACATTGTCCGGGCCTTTATTAGCTGTCGGATGCTGAAATCCCTCAGGAGAAAAAGAGGGAAAAGAGATGAAAAAGTAAATGAGGAAGAGAATGATGGGGTTGAATCAAGAGGTGTGACATTCTGCCTTACGGCAACGGTTGGCAATTTATATCACAGCTGAAGCGTTTGAGGCATTCGAGTTTCAATTGATGGATTACTAGATCAAAAAGATGCATCTGCAAATAGTTTGATTATTGACAATGACATTTTAAGATATTCCAATCACTTCGACTGCAGCTTCTTCGGCTTTTTTTCTCGGTCGTATCGTATCTCACTGTAAACTCAACGTATTCGGGTTTTGGACGAAAAGTTGTAAAAAACAACATATTTAAAAAAAACACGTTGCACTGTGAAAAACTGAGATGGACATTAGTCTCAATTAGAAACTAAGCTGGTGATTGATTCATTCTGCAGCTGTCTTTATAACTGATTATTCATTCAAGTCGTTTAGTCAAATCAAGAATATCACTTTTAATGTTAATGTTTTCTCCAAATAAGTAATGTGTAGTAAATGTACTATTCTTTGGTTTTGGGCTATTGGTTGGATAAAACAATAAAATACAATCTGCCAGCTTTGAGAGCTTGAATAGGAGAAAAAAAATCATTGATGTGCATTTTTCGGTATTTTCTGACACTTACTAGACAACAGAAATAATTGATCAGTTAACAAAATAACTGACAGCCATAATGGTTCTAATTGTTTGTTGCAGCCCTAAAGACCATTAACACTTACTCTCCTGCCATGGTGGATTCATTTCAGAGACGAGCAGCAGTTCCAGATGAGCTCGTACTCTGGCAGCCAGCGCCACATGGCAGAGCAGCATATGATTAGTGTGATTGATATTTGGGCTGTGTTGGGAATTTGCCCGAGCGCTGACACTGAACACCAGCACAAACACGGCAATTAGTCCCGACCAAGGAGAACTCCACGATGAAAATGACCCCCAGTGGCCTCTGCGGGCTGTGTGGTCGCTATGGAGACCCACGACAGACCTATTGTTGTTGACCTTTGTGATTCGGCGTCCCCTCAGGGGTCGATCCCTGTCGGGAGCGAAAGTGAAAGGCATTGTCATGCACATGTAAACCAAACAGCCTTTAACCCTTGGCCCCTCGGTGCTCTTTAAGGCCCTTTGGTTACTTATTTATCCGACACCAGCCAGATGGGGTGTTGGGAGAGTTTGCTGAAGTACACGCCGCCTCACAAAAGATCCGGCTTTATTGGCTGTAAATAACACAGAAGCCCTGATTTTACAAATTCTCCTCAGCGGATGATTTATTGCTTTCGCGCAAGTAAACCGCGAGACTCAAACAATAGCTGAAGTTGTTTGCTGTACTTCCCTGCTCCTCTCACCACCACAGGCTATTTATACATCACAACCACTTTGCCATTATCTCATTCCTTCCCTTGTTCCTCCTGCCACTTGTGATTTGAAGATTGTAGTGGCTGTGGAGAAGCATCCCACATGTTCTGAGACACTGATTCAAAGTGTTTGGGTTCAGTTCTAGAGCTCGTGGCTTTTGAGTTTGGATACATTTCTGACCTGTCCCTTCAGAAGAGAGAGTGTTGTCGGGGTGAAAGTCAACAAACAGTCCTCTTTGTCTTCGACCGCTCCAACTCAGTCACGTAGCGAGATGGTGTGATGTTGCTATGGCTACCTCAAGGTTTCCTGCAGGGGCTCTGAGTGCCCACCCTTCACAAAAGGGAAAGAAAACGCTGGCAAAAATTAAAGTTTATCATCCATGCTACTTGTATTCTTTAAAGGGCAAAGTGTCATGTCAGTTGCCATAGAGATTGTGAGGAATCTATCAAGTGGGATGCACAATGCAACCTCATCACATCTGTTGTCTGCACAAGTCTGCATGATGGCTGTGTGGCTGCCATACAGATACAGGTTCGGAGCCATTATGTTCGAAACATATTTTGACTTTATTTTCTGTAAAGAATCGGTCATAACACAAGGTTGTTGTATATTATAAGCTTTAACAAGGTTATAACACAGGTGGAGTATAGGGTGAGTTATAGTTCTCCATCCAGTCCATCCATTGTCTATACTGCTGAGCAAGTCCCAGGTACACCTGGGGCAGGTTGCCAGCGTATCCAAGGGCCAACAAGTAGAGACATTCACATATGGATCATTTAAAGTCACCTAAGCTGTTTTCAGACATGACCTCAGATTTGGTTTCGCTTTTTCTCCGGAATTTGCTTTTCCACACAGCGGGAGATTCTCGTGCACAACAGCAAAGAAATCTCCGGAGCGTTCAGGTGATAGCACATCTGGCGACGGCCCAAAAACTCTCTTCATCTTCATCATCGCGTGTCACCAGTATTTGTATCCTTTTATTTTTTTTATCTGTCGTGTTACAGACATCATCAACACACCCACCTGCTCGTGATGAATCCTGCGGAGGATCTCCTGCTGTGTTCTCATGTCGGCACATTTGTATACTCTAAAGTCCCGAAGCTCTCACTCAGACATTTACTTTTTCCACACACAGCCCCTCCACAGAATGTCTGGGGAGTCCTTGCAGTTCAGTGCATGTCTGAAAGCAGCAGAGACGCTCTCATACAAACCAATGAACAATTTAATACCACCTGTAAGCATATCCCCAATCTGCACGTCTTTGGACTGTGGGAGGAAGCTGGAGTATCCTGAGAAAACCCACACAGACAGACAGGGAGAACATGCAAACGCCACAAAGAAAGACCCGGGGGATTCAAACCAGAAACCTTCTTGCTGAAAGGAGACACTGCCAACCACTGCCCCGAGTTGGAGTCAACGCACACAAAAAGAAATCTCATTAGGGAGAGGAGCTGGAAATGATGTGGTGAAAAGTGCATGTGTGCTTGTTTTGAAACACACACATCAGCTCTCCTTGTAAAACAGGCAGGGGAAGCTGTGGTGATTTCACACTGCATGCTAAACAGCAGAAACAGCACAGAAGCAGGTGTAGGGAATCATTTGAGTTCACGGTGCGGCAAACGATATGTGATCCTGGATGCACCATTATTTCTGCTTCTTGGATCCAAGAAGGACTGTCTGCGGTTTGAGTAAAACATCCAGTTTCATGTCTTTACGTCAGAGGGAATTAGCACTTGCCAAACCGGCCGCACTGATCCACTACATTAGCTCCGTCCCTCTCTCCACTACAACCTCAAACCCCACTCAGGCGGCAGAGGAATCTTTTTAACCGCGATGCCAGGCAGCGCAGGAAGACGGGAGAGAC